AGGAAGGTGAATTTTCACATCCTCGTTTATGTCCTAACTTTGAACAAGTGAAATTTTTGCTTTTAAACGCAGTGTATATTCGGAGAGCTTCAAAACCCACATGTCAGTCCCATTCTTTTGGCTGAGCATTTTACAAAGTGTGCTTATTGCAGTAGTAGTGTGAAACCGGAACGAGCGCATCACTGCAGCATTTGTGGGCGATGTGTGCGACGAATGGATCACCACTGTCCATGGGTCAACAACTGTGTCGGAGAGGGAAACCAGAAATATTTCGTCCTTTTCACCGTAAGGCTCCTCTTTTTTGTTATGAAAAAAATTCATGGACAGTGAAATAAATAGCACGAAGATATATTTTATGCGCAGTTTTGTCTGGATTTTTGTTTGATGTGGCTTTTTGAAGCTTTCTGAATATAGATTGCTGTTAAAAGCAAGAATTTCACTTGTTCAAAGTTAGGACATAAACGAGGATGTGAAAATTTGCTTTTCTAAACACTTTGTTCTCCGAGAATTGAGCTTTTTCTCTGTGTAGTTTAAGAGAGACAAAGCAGGGTCAGTCTCGTCAGATGTATTCTTGTTTTTTGGATATTAATATAAAAGGAAAAGAAAAGCTCCTTTCCTGGAATGTCTATGTCCCCTCAAAATCGGTGCTTTAAAGCAGCATTCTGTTAACTGGGATTTTTCATTACGAAATGTTCAACAGTTTCATTTGACAGGAAAAATTTTTTTCATTTGACAGGAAAAATTCTTTTTTGCAGATGTATATAGGATTGTTATCCTCGCATGCCCTGTACTGGGCTATCTGGCAGTTTGTTCTCTGCGTTGGCGGCGACTGGCACGATTGCTCGCTCTTCGGCCCACCGGTCACCACTGTTCTGCTCATTTTTTTGCTCTTCGAAGCAATCCTTTTCGCAATATTCACATTTGTGATGTTTGGCACGCAGCTGAACTCCATTTGCACCGATCAAACAGGCATCGAATCGCTCAAAAACGAGCAGTACAGCACGGGTACGCACACTTTTCATAGATTTTCACGACCCAGAACTGTCCACTTTTATGCGTTTTTTGCATCGAAAACGCATATTGACGAGGGGTTGTCTGTGTGTATGTGTGTCTGTGTATGCGTCCGTACCGATTTTTCATCTCAAGACCTGTAAAAGTTACAGGACTGAAACTTTGGGAACTTAACCTACATACACATACGAGTTCCAATCCCCAAAATGGACGCTCTTACTCGCGTGGCACCCACGTACGGGCCCATCAAAATTTTTGGTACGGAACCTACTAAATCGAGAACCAGAAAAGCTAGAAAGCTGAAATTTTAAGGAAATGTGCCCCATCCACGTAAGTATGAATGAGCTAAAACCCAGTCCGGATGCGTGGTTCCTACGTACGGGTCCGCGAAAATTTTTTCGAGTAAGTTGTTAACTCGGGAACTTGAAAGGCTGGAAGATTGGAGTTTCAAAGGTATGTTCCCTGTCCACGTGGGTATTAATGAGTCCCCCGGCTGTGCTTGGTTTCGTTATATGGACCTGTGAAAGTTTTTTTCGGGTAAGTTGCTAACTCGTAAACCAGAAAAGCTAAAAAGCTGAAATTTTTAGGGATATTTCCTGACAGTCCTGGCATCCATCCTCAGTTCTTTTAGCTGGAAGCATCTGCCGGAAAAAACAGTGCCGTTAACGACATAAATCTGCGGGGAACTATACAAAAAACGCATCTTCGTACCGGCAGTCGGTGCGCTGGCCATTTATTCAAGCTCTGCGATAGGCAGAGGCATTTGGAAATAGTCCGAGTGATAGTATTTTCCACTGCTTGGTAAAGACCTTCATTAGCTTTCCGTCTGAGGGTTATTTGTAGCGAAATGTCAGTTATGGCTCTCTGATAGTACCAATTTACCATCGAAGCTAATAGATAAATTGTTAAGAGGTGGTTTTTTTCGAGTGGAATCAAAGTATCCATCTGAGACGGGGATAGTTTTACTTGCAGTTGCACTGGGCTTTTCAGCGCTTATTTTAAAGAGCTGGGGAAATGATTCAGTCAAAGTTAATCGTGACTAGAAGGCAGCGATTTGGTTTCCAGTGTTTGTGTGAGAATTTTACCCACCACTGCTCGCAGAAAATTGGCAGTAGGATTTTTGGAAGTAAAACCACGTCGTAGGGAAATGAGCATGGAAGATGAGCACGTATGTTCTGCAGACCCTCGTCCCAATAAAGTAGAACGTACTTATTTTCTACTTTTATGGGACAAGGATTTTGCTATTTTTCCCAGTCATTCTTTAGTCCTAAAATCTTGTTTATCATGACTCAAGCAACAGCGAATTGGACGGGGCATTGGACATTCAAACATTCATCCGCATTTTGTCAACATCCAAAGCTTTACGTTGGCTATAATGGCCGCTGAATTTAATGATTTTTATTCTCATACATTTTAAAGGTGATGGAATCGCTGCATTAAATATTTGTAAAATTACATCGAATCTAGAAGTTCAGTGGTTTTCGCTTACCAAAGAGAAATCGGCAACGAAATAATTGTTCACTTAAGAAATTACATGCGACAAAAGAATTTAGCATTTAGTGAAACTAAATTACATTTAGCAAAACGTTCCGACTCGATTCTTCATTAATTCGTTTAATAAAAAGAAATTTAGCTCAGGATTAATGCACCATTCACAGGGCTTCTGAAGTAAAAACTGAAGTGCGTGATCGCTAATAAAACTGAAAAGGGAAGACAATATTTTTACATTTCGCGCACTGAAAACCCCTTTTTTCACTTAGTAAAAAAAATTTTTTCAAACCATTGGTTCTAGTACTAATAGAATTTTGACAGAGTCATTCATAAATGCACTATTATTTGAAAACTAATTTCACCACAATTCTTTGTGGACCTTAATTTTGGAAAAAGAAAAGACGGATTTTGTTTTTTCCTCTTCGCTATTTCAGGACCGGATGGTTGGAAAAACATGCAGATGATTTTTGGTGGCCCGTTCTCACTGCATTGGTTTAATCCATTTGCAGCACCGTTTATCAGCAAACCAACCTTCGAATATTCGGTTTAAATAAACTGCTTGTGTTGTTTGCTGCTGCTGTTGCTGCTTCTAATTTGCCCATAGAGCTTTTTTTTGTTTTTATTACATTCTTTTTCATTGTGCCCATATTTTATGTAAAAACTGAGTATTTCTTGAAAATTTGGCGATACATCTTTTGATTATTTTTTCTCAATTTGTAAGTTGTAAAGATTACTTTTTCTGATTTTTTTTTTGCGATTTATGGTTTTCTTCGTCTTCTTGATTCAGCGAATTTCGCATTTTTTTGGGCGGTTACGCCATTGCAGTTCTTTTTTTTAGGTTGCGTAATAAGATTTCTGCGAGTTCCAGCTCTATCATGATATCTCTTATTTTCCCGGTCGCATTTGCTTATTTTCAAAGCTACGCCATCAAATTTCTCATTACCCAGGCCACAATCTCACATTTTTGCTCTTCAGTGCTACTGAATCGGTCCTCACAGCCTACGCATAACTCCGGTTTTTTTTTTTCGTAATTTGCCTTTGACAGATTTATTGCTTACCGGTCTCGTTGCACTACGGTTACTGTTTTACTCTGTGTTCTTTCACGTTTATTTCAATTCAAGGCCAGTTTCTAGGCTGATGCAAACTTTTGTGCAATATTTCTTCTCTAAACGATCTCCTGTTCATCTTCTTTCCCGCGCAAATACTGCAAGCGGTGATTTTTGCATCAGCTCTGTTTTCTACTTAGCCTCAAGCTGTTTTGCTTCACAGTGCAACTCTTTTCAATTTTCTTTCTTTCGATTCTTCGGATGAGCGTTACTGAGCAAAGAACCACCGGTGTGTCGGTTTTTGATCATTTTACATTTTTTTTTTCCTCTAAAAGTTTAAGTTTCTTAATAAGGCAGAGACGAGAGGAGAGGGAGGGTGGCGGATTTAATCGTGAAGGCGAAAGAAGGGGTTTTTTTTTAAGCTTAAAGCAAAAAAAAGGCCTTTTTTTGAAAGTGAGGGAATGGAAACGATGAATGAAAGAGTTCTTTTGATAGTAGGAAATGATTTTTTATGCGTTTTGTTCTGTGTAACAGCAGTACAAAACTCATATTGCCACCGAGTTGTCTA